AAACTGAAGGAGAAAAACCATATGATCATCTCAATAGATGCAGAGAAAGCTTTTGACAAAATTCAACACTCATTTATGATAAAAACCCTGCAGAAAGTAGGCATAGAGGGAACTTTCCTCAACATAATAAAGGCCATATATGACAAACCCACAGCCAACGTCGTCCTCAATGGTGAAAAACTGAAAGCATTTTCACTAAGATCAGGAACAAGACAAGGTTGCCCACTCTCACCACTCTTATTCAACATCGTTTTGGGAGTTTTAGCCATAGCAATCAGAGAAGAAAAGGAAATAAAAGGAATCCAAATCAGAAAAGAAGAAGTAAAGCTGTCAGTTTTTGCAGATGACATGATACTATACATAGAGAATCCTAAAGATGCTACCAGAAAACTACTAAAGCTAATCAGTGAATTTGGTAAAGTACCAGGATACAAAATGAATGCACAGAAATCTCTGGCATTCCTATACACTAATGATGAAAAATCTGAAAGTGAAATCAAGAAAAACACTCCCATTTACCATTACAACAAAAAGAATAAAATATCTAGGAATAAACCTACCTAAGGAGACAAAAGACCTGTATGCAGAAAATTATAAGACACTGATGGAAAAAATTAAAGATGATACAAATAGATGGAGAGATATACCATGTTCTTGGATTGGAAGAATCAACATTGTGAAAATGACTAAACTATCCAAAGCAATCTACAGATTCAATGCAATCCCTATCAAACTACCACTGGCATTTTTCACAGAACTAGAACAAAAAATTTCACAATTTGTATGGAAACACAAAAGACCCCATAATAGCCAAAGCAATCTTGAGAACGAAAAACAGAGCTGGAGGGATCAGGCTCCCTGACTTCAGACTATACTACAAAGCTACAGTAATCAAGACAGTACGGTACTGGCACAAAAACAGAAAGATAGATCAATGGAACAGGATAGAAAGCCCAGAGATAAACCCATGCACATATGGTCACCTTATCTTTGATAAAGGAGGCAGGAATGTACAGTGGAGAAAGGACAGCCTCTTCAGTAAGTGGTGCTGTGAAAACTGGACAGGTACATTTAAAAGTATGAGATTAGATCATTCCCTAACACCATACACAAAAATAAGCTCAAAATGGATTAAAGACCTAAATGTAAGGCCAGAAACTATCAAACTCTTAGAGGAAAACATAGGCAGGACACTCTATGACATAAATCACAGCAAGATCCTTTTTGACCCACTTCCTAAAGAAATGGAAATAAAAAGAAAAATAAACAAATGGGACCTAATGAAACTTCAAGGCTTTTGCATAGCAAAGGAAACCATAAACAAGACCAAAAGACAACCCTCAGAATGGGAGAAAATATTTGCAAATGAAGCAACTGACAAAGGACTAATTTCCAAAATTTATAAGCAGCTCATGCAGCTCAATAACAAAAAAACAAACAACCTAATCCAAAAATGGGCAGAAGACCTAAATAGACATTTCTCCGAAGAAGATATACAGGCTGCCAACAAACACATGAAAGAATGCTCAACATCATTAATCATTAGAGAAACGCAAATCAAAACTACAATGAGGGCTTCCCTGGTGGCGCAGTGGTTGAGAGTCTGCCTGCCGATGCAGTGGACACGGGTTAATGCCCCGGTCCGGGAAGATCCCACATGCCGCGGAGCGGCTGGGCCCGTGAGCCATGGCCGCTGAGCCTGCACGTCCGGATCCTGTGCTCCGCAATGGGAAAGGCCGCAACAGTGAGAGGCCCACGTACCGCAAACAAACAAACAAACAAACAAAAACAAACTACAATGAGATATCATCTCACACCAGTCAGAATGGCCATCATCAAAAACTCTAGAAACAATAAGTGCTGGAGAGGGTGTGGAGAAAAGGGAACACTCTTGCACTGCTGGTGGGAATGTGAATTGGTACAGCCACTATGGAGAACAGTATAGAGGTTCCTTAGAAATCTACAAATAGGACTACCATATGAGCCAGCAATCCCACTATTGGGCATATACCCTGAGAAAACCATAATTCAAAAAGAGTCATGTACCAAAATGTTCATTTCAGCTTTATTTACAATAGCCTGGAAATGGAAACAACCTACATGTCCATCATTGGATGAATGGACAAAGAAGATGTGGCACATATATACAATGGAATATTAGTCAACCATAAAAAGTAAGGAAATTGAGCTATTTGTAATGAGGTGGATAGACCTAGAGTCTGTCATACAGAGTGAAGTAAGTCAGAAAGAGAAAGCCTAGTACTGTATGCTAAAACATATATATGGAATTTAAGGGAAAAAAATGTCTTGAAGAACCTAGGGGTAAGACAGGAATAAAGACACAGACCTACTAGAGAATGGACTTGAGGATATGGGGAGGGGGAAGGGTGAGCTGTGACAAAGCGAGAGAGTGGCATGGACATATGTACACTACCAAATGTAAAATAGATAGCTAGTGGGAAGCAGCCGCATAGCACAGGGAGATCAGCTCGGTGCTTTGTGACCGCCTGGAGGGGTGGGATAGGGAGGGTGGGAGGGAGGGAGACGCAAGAGGGAAGAGATATGGGAACATATGTATATGTATAACTGATTCACTTTTTTATAAAGCGGAAACTAACACACCATTGTAAAGCAATTATGCTCCAATAAAGATGTAAAAAAAAAAAAAAAGAAGCAAAGAAAAAAGAAGGGCTAATAAAATTCTAAGGGAGTATCTACAAGGAGATTAAGCTACCAATTCACTGTATTCTTCAATTTAAAGTTTGTGTAACAGTTGGTTAAATCCAGCATAATCTCTACAGGAATTAACTATGACATCTAAGAATGACTGGACTGTAGCATGAGTGGGTGTGTGAGGTTGTGATGTTTCATAAATCTCTGAATCAGTACACCATACCCATAGGTGAAATCTCAACATTTCCTTCTTTATATCTCACATTACAAAGAATGGCATTTGCTTTTCATTCATTTTATGTAACTCTTTGAAAGGTAGTATATATAAAAAATAATTTGCTATTACCTCAACACTTCCGTGAGGCATCCAGAAAAATATCTTTCAGGAAGAAGAGGCAACAGGAAAAGAATAAAGAAATAAGTTTTAATAAAGACCATGAAAAGAAACTTGGTTAGAGATTAAGTTTTTGGAATTTTATGACAATATGATTTTATACCTCTGTTGACCATTTCAGTTTCAGATACAACTTAAGAATTGTTTATTGAAAGGTTTTCTGTCACCAAAATTATCAAAAAATGAATAATTGAATTCTGAAAGACCTGTAATTAAGTTTTCATGGCAAAACAGTCATTTGAAAATTCCATTATTCAACCTAAAATTGAAACAAAATAAAAATTCTATTGATTTATAGCAATTAATTATAGCAATCCACATTCTCTTGGAATTTGTACTGTTAAGTACTAGTCTGTAATAGAAACAAAAAGAAACTGCTTTCAAAATAATTTTCTAGGCTGATACTCACTGATTCACCCTTTTGAAAAGTAGTATATGTTGCGTATACTCTAAAAACATGGATTCTGGAACTGGATTCATAGGCAGCGCCTATGTTTTACTATTTCTGTGCTCTAAAGAGCAGAACACTGAGCAGTATGGAGATTTCTCAAAAAATAAGAAAAACAGAACTACCATATGATCCAGCAATTACACTCCTCGATATTTAACCAAAGAAAAGAAAAACATGAAATAGAAAAGATATATGCATCCTTATGTTCATTGTAGCATTATTTACAAACGCCAAGAAATGAAAGTAACCCAAGTGCCCATCAATAGATGAATGGACAAAGAAGATGTAGTATATATATGTAATGAATTATTACCCATAAAAAAGAATGAAATCTTGCCATTTGTGACAACACGGTTGGATGTAGAGGGTATTATGCTAGGTGAAATAAGTCTCAGACAGAGAAAGACAAATACTGTATGATTTCATTTATATGCAAAATATAAAGAATACAACAAACCAGTGAACATAACAAAAAGGAAACAGAGTCACAGATATAGAGAACTAGTGATTACCAGTGGGAAGAGGGAAGAAGGGTCGGGCAAGATAGGGGTAGGGGACTAAGAGTTACAAACTACTATGCATAAAATAAGCTACAAGGATATACTGTACAACACAGGGAATACAGCCAATATTTTATAAATGTAATATAATCTTTAAAAATTGTGAATCACTATGTTGTACACCTGAAACATAATATTGTACAACTATACCTCAATTTTTAAAAAGAATCACATGACTGTTAAACGACAAAGGCAAGGGTCAGGTTTAGATTCATCTGACTCTAAAGCCAGCTTACAATGCTATGTGTACAACTATTTCAAGCTAAGGAATATTGGCAGATTTGTGTTCAATCCAAAAAAGAAATCTAATTGAAGCATCTTAAGTTTTCAAGTTATACAAGGACTTAAACCATTCAGTGCTATTTGAAAACTGAAATACCCAAGAAGTCATCAGAAAAAGTAACCAAAAAAAAACATTTCCCCCTTGACCCATAGCTGTTCCCAACCACTGTGCTTATAATATGACTCTCATCTAAAGAATAGAAATCCTAAATCACTGCCACTCCCACTCTAGTTTCTTTATTCATTTTTGGTTTGTTTTGTTTTTTAAACAAGCCTTTTTATTTCCTGGTGCTTTTCATTTCAGTTCCTCATCCTTCCACAGAGCGCTTTTCTGTAAATAGATCCCAGAACTGGAAAATATCTAATACTATTTGATGATGATGACAATGAAGACAAAGAATGATCACCATGATGAGGATGATTACTACACAAACAATCTAAAAGAATTGCTCAATTCAATGAGTATTTAACCTTAGCTGTCTTAGAAAGTATGATAAATGTTCAGCATAATCCCCATTGCTACTTAACAATTAAAGAACTCTTTAGAATAAGATAAAGAAGTTCATCAAAATATTTTAGTAATAATATATATATATTTTAGTAATATATTTTTGCAAATATTTGGGTCTAGAGTCAAATTTCTGAGTTAAGCAGATAAATAAATACTCTCCTTACATTTCCAATAGGTTTATTGTAACATGCGAAAAAATGGTGCTCACTCTGAATGTTATTCTGTTCCTAACTTTGCATCTCTTGCCTGGAATGAAAAGCTCAATGGTAAATTTGATTAACAATGGATATGATGGCACTGTCATTGCAATTAACCCCAGTGTGCCAGAAGATGAAAAACTCATTCAAAACATAAAGGTAAGTGAAAAATTGATTATCCATTTATATTTATTTCATTGAGTATTTTCAACTCCTGTTACCTAGGCACATACACACATTCACACAGTTATAACTTTCCAAAATTGCTTAGACAGTATTCGTCATTTACATAACATGTATCTAAACTGTCAAGATTAATACCTGCTTAGTTTAAATATTATATAGTATATATTAATAGCATTAGTCATTCTCCAAATGAATTATTAAAAGGCCAAACTACTAATATTTGTTGAACTCATTAAGCTAAAAGAAAGACCTTCGAGCTACTGGAGAATTATTTTCAAATTTTATCTTTATGAAGTTACTTTTATAATGTTTCAATAACTAACCTCCATTTAAGCCCTAGAGGTTCATTATCATACATTTTTTTCAGTTGTTCATATTGTTCAACTCTAAAAATTTTGAAATTCTTAGGTATCTGATCTTAAAGAAAATATTACTTATTTTTGAAGTTGACTTACTTCCTAATTTTATCTGGGTTAGTCATTATAATAAAATATTCTATATATAGCACTCTAATATATACTGTTTTCTTTGATCCTCTCAATATCCCTATGAGGTGGTCAAGAATAGAGATTATTAATTACCTTGTTGTATAAATTGAGAGAAGTGATTTGTACAGTCATACGATAAGTAGCAAAACTGGAATTTGAAGCCAATGACCTACATATTTTTAGAAAATCACTGCTTGGTAAAACTTTGCCTTTTATGAACACATTCTTTATGAGAAGATAACTCAAAATAAATCTAGCAAAATGTTTTTTTCAATTAACAACAGTATAAAATCTACCAAACTTTAAACTCCCAACCCCATTTTAAGCACCTCTGTTCAATTCAATAAGCAACTTGCCAACAGACTGCCAGTCTTAATCACCTTTATATCTCACCTAGCACCCTCACTCCCTGCTCCAACCCATAATGCTGAATGCAGGTCTGGATAAGTGAAAAATAAAGAATTGATTTCTAAGTATATAAAAATGAGAGTTTACAGGCATCTGTTGCCTTGAATGAAAAGCTCAGTGGTAAATTTGATTTACCAGACTAGAAAAATATAGTAAAATGTAACCTATTTTTCAGTTAGTCTTTGCCAAAATATTTGGGGAGAGGGGCTTAAATTAACTTTTTTTTTTTTAAAGATGATGTTGGGGGTAGGAGTTTATTTATTTATTTATTTATTTATTTTTGCATGTTGCATCTTCATTTCTGTGCGAGGGCTTTCTCTAGTTGTGGCAAGCAGGGGCCACTCTTCATCGCAGTGCACGGGCCTCTCACTGTCACGGCCTCTCTTGTTGCGGAGCACAGGCTCCAGACGCGCAGGCTCAGTAGTTGTGGCTCACGGGCCTAGTTGCTCCGTGGCATGTGGGATCCTCCCAGACCAGGGCTCGAACCCGTGGCCCCTGCATTAGCAGGCAGATTCTCAGCCACTGCACCACCAGGGAAGCCCCTAGCTTCTTCTTGTTTGTACATTTTCATTTCATTGTGAAATTGTTACTACAAGGTATTTTTAATTTTTTCAGGAAATGGTAACTGAAGCTTCTACTTACCTGTTTCATGCCACCAAACGAAGAGTTTATTTCAGGAATGTAAGCATTTTAATTCCAATGACCTGGAAGTCAAAATCTGAGTACTTAATGCCAAAACAAGAAGCACATGACCAGGTAGGGTATTTTATCTAGCTCCTAAACTGTTTCTTTCTCCCTGTGATTTAAAAAAATTAATACTCAATTTTTTTTAATAATTACTGATGACTACTTTAGTATTTAAATTAGTAATATTATGGGTCTTAATTTAGATGAAAAATTCCTTGTTTCTATTGCTCTTGGGATCTGTTTTGGCTTGTCTGTTCTGCTTTTTAGGCAGATGTCATAGTTGCTAATTCTTACCTAAAATATGGAGATGATCCCCATACACTTCAACATGGAAAATGTGGAGAAAAAGGACAATATATACATTTTACTCCAAACTTCTCGTTGACTAATAATTTGCCTATCTATGGGTCCTGAGATAGGGATATCTATTTTATACTTCTATTTTTATTTCCACTGGAAACAAATATAACATTGTGATTAATGGTATTTTAAAAAAATTTTTAAAGGAAAAAATAGTTGTTAATACCTTTGGAAATTTACTAGTTATGTTCAACCTAATTATATTTCTTTTTGTGTGTGTTTAATAATAAAATTAACCATTTATTGATACTAACCCATTTTAACTTCTTTGGCCTTATGAAAGTTGTCAATTTCTAGATTTCCTTGACTCAGTTAGGTTGAGGATATGGGGAAGGGAGACTTAAAATATAAGGAAAATAGTTAAATACAGGTTTCCCCCAAAAGAAGCATTTCCAAAAGAAGCTATCCAAAGAATAGCATCCAAAAGAAGCATTTCTATCCAAAAGAAGCATTTCTATGAAACCTTTCATAAGTCAAGATTGTATACAGCAAAGAAGCAATTACCTTAGGACACATCTTGTTAACAGATGAACAAAATATGTCGAGATAAAGCACAGATGCTCACAGACACAGTTCAAATCTATGGGGTTTGAGGGTGAGATGCTGAATGCGATTCCCAGGGAAGGAGCTTGGTGGTGCCATTTTTCCTGCTCTGGGTGTGTGCTGTTTGTAAAACAGCTGGCTGCGAAACAAATGCTGATTGCTATTTTTACTTTTCGCTTTTTTTTATAAAAGCAAAAGTCCTCTTCGAACTTCTTTCTGTTAGCAAAAACAGGTACTAAGGTCTTTCGTAAAAGTGAAGTGGTGTAACGTGAACTTTCAAAAAGCCGGGATACATGTATTGTAAACATAAATTTATAAGTGGCAATATTCTCTCATATGCAGAGTATTTGTCCATGAGTAGGCCCATCTCCGATGGGGAATATTTGATGAGTATAATGTGGACCAGACATTCTATATTTCCAGAAGAAACACTATTGAAGCAACAAGGTATCATTCTATTGAACAAATCTGTTTTCAAAACCTTTCACTTATGACTTTTTAATTTTCTGTACTAGGCAAACAAAGGCTACCTCAGTGGTTGAATGCTCAGAGTTAACTGCAATATCCAACCTGCCCCACTATATATCTGTCCAACAATTTCTGGTATTACACCTTGGAATCAAGATCAATCAAAATTTGGGAAAATTTTCAGTATTCATGGGAGTTGTACTAAAAATATGTTATTGTCAGAGGAAAGAGAAAGAAAAACGTTGTACCCTAAAACTTAAGATATCTGAGAGTTAGAGTTCAAGTTCCTACCCAATCTTTTATTCCGTTTGATTCATAACCTTTTAAGGTGAATCTGTTTCATTAAAATCAATTAAACTGTTAGAGCCTCATATTAAATATATTTATTTTTCATTTAATCTTGAGCTTAAGAAGTACTTTTCATAAGGATAAGTGAGAAAATTGATTTTTTAAGAAGTATAATTCTGGGTAGATTTAGACAGGTCCTATTTATGAATAGATGAGATATTTAAATTAAAATGTCAAGCAGGTGGAGTAGTTAATGAGTATTAAAGAACAACAGAAATCAGTGTAATAGAAAATAAGTCTTTAGGATAAAAAACATATTAGAGAAAAGAGGTGTGGTACAAAAATGCCTTTGTGTTGTTTGCTTTATCTCTCTTAAGCTGCCTAGAATCTTTCCCACAGAGGAGGCTTTCAACCCAGGACACTCATTACTGTCACCTCCTCCCACGCAACTCCTCCCAGCACCGACTCCCTTATTCAAACAATGCTTGTTCATCCTTCAAGACTCAGTTTAAATGCTTCTTCCCTAAGTGTCTTTCCTCTCCCTCCATTTGGGGTTAGACATCCTTGACACTGTTCCCAAAGCAATGTGCGTGGGCTTCTCTCACACTGGGCAGTAATTGTCTGTGTTTTAAGATCCTTGAGGGCTGATTTTTTTTTTTTTTAATCCCTTAGCCTTGGACATGGTACAAAGTAAAAGCTAAACAAAGAATGTATCAAACAACCAATTTTTAATAAATTAATGAAAAATAAATGAGTTTCCTTATCAGTCATAAAAAGAGATATATTAGTAAAAACAAGTATCTAAAATAACATTTATTGAGCTCCTACTGTGTGCCAGGCACTTTGTTGGAGGCAGTGTAAGTTTAGTTTTCAGGCTTTTACTCTAGAGCTAACCCTCTTGGAAAACATGACTAACCATCTCCTTTAATCCTTGCAATACAAATAAATTTATTTAAATAGATTAATGTTTTGAAGTTTAATATTAACACAGAATGGGAGTAAATCCTGCAGATAAACAAGAACTCTTTTTATCTTTTACCCATACCCCACCCCACCTCATTCTCTGCCAGGGCCTTGACAATTATAAAGACCAAAAGGTTTGAATGCACAAGCATTTCCATGCAGGGTTTATTTTCATTTCTTCTTTCAGTCTAGCTCAGTGATTTTCAAATGTAAATTGTAAAATGCTGTAAACACAAAAACCACACATGGTTTTGTATGTATGGTATACATGCATATATGTATACATCTATATAGCAATATGTATACGTATGTATATATATATGTATATGTGTACCATACATAAGAAATTTAAGAGGGTTTTAAGCATAATGTTGACTCTCCCCTCCCTGCTGGGAAGCAACTCCTCTGTATCTCTTAACTCAATTTTCACAACATCCTTGTGAATTAGGAATTATCATCTTAAACTCAAGGTCACAAGGATAATAGATATATTAATCATATTAATGAGCAGTAAACATTAAGAAATATGAATTAACATCATTGTTCTTGTTGAAATCATGGTAAATAGGGGGAAGACACTGCCTACTTTTGTCAAAATGGAATGTTGGTACATGGTCTAGAGCAATTATCACTGAGGGAATGATTTTAGGATGTTAATCTTTATTCATAATTTCTCTGGCCTTCATGTACAAATATAATCTAATTCTTTCATCACAGATGTTCAATTCATATTACTGGTATAAACGTGGTTTTCAAGAAATGCCAGGGAGGCAGCTGCATAACAAGGCCATGCAGACGTGACTCATAGACAAGGCTGTATGACGCAAAATGTATATTCATCCCAGAAAAATCCCAGACTGCAAGGGAGTCCATTATGTTTATGCAAAGTCTCCATTCTGTAAGTACCTTCTTTTCCTAGTCTCACAAAGGAACCCTTTAGGAAAAAATTAATTAGGGAAGCTGGATTTTCTACTATGAAATTATATATACCAATAGAAATAAGGGAAATTACTAAGACAGTTAATTAATAGCCATTTTATCCAGTCCTGTGTGTCCAGTCTTGTCAGGGTGTATCTGGAAATTATTCCACCCTTTCTTACTAGCCTGCTTTCTTTTTTCTTCAGAGATCTGTACCCTTCTCATTGGCATCACAGAATTTCTTATTACATTCCTTCCCTCATTTGATTTCTGTAAACTTGTGTCTAGAACTACAACCTTACTTTTAATTCTTTCTTCTAAGTGTTATTCATATTACTATTCCAAAGTAATTCATTCTGGGAAAATGAATTTGGGAAATTCAGCTTGGGAAAGTACTGACAGTCTCTACTTTCCATTATCTTCACACTAAAGCACACTAAGTTTTGCAAAGTGATATTGTGAAAACATAAACGGCTCTGTCTCTACAGAACAACAAAAGAGGAGAGGTTCACAGTCACCAATATGACCAATTAAAAAATAACAACACAATAATTCAAGTTCCAAAGCTAATGTTTGACCTGAAGTATTTGGTTGAATGTGTAAACCTCAGTAGATAAGAACAGGTGACTTGGAGTCAGACAGATCTGATGTCAAAACCCAGTCTGTAATTTTCGAGCTGTGTCACTCTGAGCAAACTGCTAAATCTGAGATTTAATTCTCTAGTCTTTTAAACAGGAATTATAAAACTCACTTTACAGTGTTATTGCTGTTAGTTTTATAAGAGCTAATATAAATAAAGTACGTTTACAGTGCTTAGCACAAGGTAAGTATAACATAAACTTAAAATTTTTTTAATTTATAAAATATTTGGATAATAGGGAATTGTCTCTTTCCCTGGATAAATCCAGCCTTAATTAATGCAAACATATTATAGCTACCTAATGAAAGTTTCGAAACATGTAAAAAAGACTTTAAAATATGAAACATATGAAAGTTATCAAAAACAACAAATCAAAATAAAGTATACTATCTCTAGATAGTAAACTAACATTTGAAAGAAGCAAATTTTCATATACCAAATTACTAGCAACATAGACTTCTATGGGTAGAGGTTTGGAAAGGCCTATTATTTCCAATAGGATTTAAAATTGTTTTGGAGTCTAGGGCATTAATGATGAAGGACCTGAGTAAAAATATAGACTCGATATTTTTTTCTAAAACTCCTAAATGAATCCAGTGAGATATTTAAGTAGAAATTGTTTTCCAGCCTAATAAAACTCCCTCCTGGGAATATCTGAAACATGAATCTAGAAGTTTCACTTTAACTTGCTGAATCTGGATCCACAAAGGCAGCCAAAGTTCAGCATCCAAATAGATATCAGATCATGTGACGCAAGAGGATAATTGGAATATATACTGTCTGTACCAAACTATAAATTCCAAAAGCATTTGACTATGAGGAGATAACTCATGTTGCCTACCTGAAAAATAAATAAAAATGAAAGAAAATCATGTAACTGAAACATGGAGGGCAACTAATTATATAAGATATGGCTCAGAGATAAATACTGTACTTTAACCATATAACTTGTGCATAATAACACAACCTTCTAATTATTGTAACATAGACTAAATATATTGCATAGCATCTGTACCCAGGGCATAAGCTCAGACTCAAGAGAAATATGATCTGAAATAATGAATATTCAAGTCCATGATTTTCTTTCTTTAAAATTCATTATTCCCACTTCATGTCCATGTTAGGAACTGAAAAAATATCGAAATAATTAAAAATAACTGTTCTTGAAGAACTCAATTTAGTGAGAGAAGTAGAGATAAAAGAAAAATAAATATGAATACAAAGTAGGAAGAAGTAGAAACTAAGTGCCATGAGAGTACAGCAAATGTCTCCAATTGAAAGTCAGAAAATTGTGTCTAATGAGATGAGTTTTGAGCTGGGATTTGGAAATAAAATTAGTATGAACTTGCTAAAGCAGGAAGGGGAAGGGTATTCTAGGCAAAGAAACAGGTTTACAGAAACAAAGATGGAAAAATACAGGGATGAGAGGGAAGGGATAATGGGATAATATGTATACATATAGCTGATTCACTTTGTTACACAGCAGAAACTAACACAACATTGTAAAGCAATTATACTCCACTAAAGATGTAAAAAGAAAGAAAGAAAGAAAAAAGATTTTAAAAAATAAGAAAAATACAGGATGCCACACATGACTGTACAAGTTGAGCACTGCCCAAATTACTTGCATCATGGTCACTAAAGATTTTCATATTTATTAGAACACTTTTCAGGTAGACAGCAATAAAAGAACTTGAGAAAAGGGGACCTTTTTCTAATTTGCACAATTTTCCTTTTCCATTTGTATTAGCGAGAGCCTTGTGAAAGTTTCTGGCATACTCTAAGGACAGGAGAAAGTTCAATGTTCTATAAGCAAAGCATACATGGTGAGGAAGAAGCAAGAAATGAAATTGAAACACAAAATTGGAACCTACAAAACTAAGGTATTTGGATTTTATTTTATCAACTTCAGTCTAGTGATGTAACCAGCTTATCCTTTCAGGATGATAATTCTACTGACTGTGAAAAACAAAAGGAAGTGAGATAGTGGAGGCAGGGAGACCAGTTGGAGGGCCATGGCAATAGGCAGATAAGAGACCTGAAGGCCCTGAATAAAGGCAGTGACAGTAGCAAGAGGAGCCACATTTGGTAGGCATTTCATATCATCAAGTTGATTATAAATCACTGCTTTGACTGAAAACTATATTTTTCTCCCATCCAATATAACCCCTTCTGAAAAATGTAGATCAGAAACTTAACAGAAGGAAAACAAACTCTTAAAACTTGAATAAAAGGTGTTCAGGTTTAATAATTTAGTTCTAAATCTGAGCTTACAGCAGGAGATTTATATGAGGAGGGCATTAAAAAAACAAAATGATATTTATAAAGCTGAGGCTTTACTGCAAGACGAATTCTTTCCTGAATGCTACTAGTTTATGCTAGTGTTTTTCCAAGTTACTAGGTTTCAAAACTTGGAGGATTTTCATAGATTCTATAGTAATGAAATATCATTTGGCAGAATTACTGGATACAACTCACCATTTGCAACTCAAAGAGAAGCAATCACATTTCCTCATTTTCTTCCCACATTTTCATACTTTTTCGGGAGTATTATTTTATTTATGTCTAAGTTCACCAGAGCCAATTACATTTGAGATTGTTAGAATATCTGTTCTCAAGTTTTTCAATAAACTATAAAGAGATAGAAAATACTTAGGCAATTAAAGAAGGCCATTTTCTTTACTCCACTTTTAGGGGGAAGCTAGAAATTACTGCAAATCCTGTCCCTTTTTCCATTAAAGTTATTTCAAGGCTTGAGTCGCCCAAGAGTCTAGAAGGGAAAGTAAGAAGTTAGCTTAAGCAGTTGCGTCAGCCGCCATCATCCCCTAGTGCTATGATCTACCTATACCCAAAAGAATTACCAAATAAATTTCCAGTGCATATTGATGGTTTTAATTTGCTTTTTCTCCATTCAAGTATGCAAAATGGATGTGAGAATGTTAGATTATGAAATAATTTTTAATTGTCAGGAGATAAAATCTGTGGAGGATGTACAAGGCAGCCAACTGTATATTTGGAAAGGAAGGTAATGCCTCATCAGTTACCGTACTACTGTCTTTCAACTGATTTTTCCCAGGTGACTGAATTTTGTACAGAAAAAACACACGATACAGAAGCTCCAAACCTACAAAACAAAATGTGCAATGGCAGAACCACGTGGGATGTAATCATGGACTCTGATGACTTTCAGAATATATCTCCTATGAGAGAAATGAATCCACCGACTCATCCTACATTTTCGTTACTCAAGTCCAAACAGCGGGTAGTCTGTTCGTTACTTGATAAATCTGGAAGCATGAATTCAGTAACACGTTTATTTGTTAGCTCTCCTAAATTAGGTATTTAAGCTAATAGAAATATAATTTAATCTTAGGTTTAGTTCTACTAAGCTAACTAAAAAATATTTTTATTATTCTAATAAATTTTAGTACAGTGATTTTACATGGACAAGCACTAGAAGATAATATATTAAAATAAAAATAATTATTATATTAAGGTTATTGGATTACGGATGATGTTTATTCTTTAACTTTTAGTTCTAACAAACTAGAAATAACATAACTGAACAAAAAGAAAAGACGAAAATCATCCATAATTCTACGGAGCATATGTCATTCCTATCTTTTTTCTGTTCATGTATTTTGTTTTTCCTCCTCAGAAATGTGATTATATCTTATATAATGTTTTATAATATGATTTTTTTTACTTACTATACCTTAAACACTCCCCAAGGAAAAAAAACGATTCCATGACACAAGTTTTAATGGTCATATGGTATGCACATATTATAATTTAGTCAAATAAACCCCATTATTGGACATTTTGGTGACTTTCAACTTGTTATCAAAAATTATGTTGCAACAAACATTTTTGTGTGCATTTTAAAATTATTTCCTTACTGTTAAAGAAGAAGGTATAAAATTTTAAGGCTTTTCCAAGTATAATATGACTGATTTTTAAAGTTTTTCTTTAATATTATTTCTTTTTAATATAATGAAGAAGTTAAACTCTAAAATACAGTAATCAATTATTATTATGATCTCTGGCCCATGAACTTTGTCTTTCACCAATCTGTCAAGATTGGAGGAAACTCAGGAATTGTTCAGACATCTTTTTCTTACAGGAAGACTGTCTCTTTCGAATGGATCAAGCAGCAGAACTACACTTGATTCAAATTATCAAAAAGGGATCCTTGGTTGGGATGGTTACATTTGACAGTGTTGCTGAAATCCGAAATCATCTAACAAAAATAACTGATGATGGGCTTCCCTGGTGGCGCAGTGGTTGAGAGTCCGCCTGCCGATGCAGGCGACACGGGATCGTGTCCCGGTGTGGGAAGATCCCACATGCCGCGGAGCAGCTGGGCCCGTGAGCCATGGCCGCTGAGCCTGTGCGTCCGGAGCCTGTGCTCCGCAACGGGAGAGGCCACAACAGTGAGAGGCCCGCATACCAAAAAAAAAACAAAAAACAAAAAAACTGATGATGATGTTTACCGAAATCTGCCTCAAGCTGATGGTGGAACTTCAGTTTGCAGGGGACTCAAAGCAGGATTCCAGGTAAGATAAGAATGCTTTTCTAAATATCACTTGCCATTTATCATTGCTTTTAATTTTGTCCAGCTCTCTTGGAACAAGGGTCATGAGCTTAGAGGTCCCTCACTTAAATAATTTTTAAAGACCTTCTGTTGTCTATTGTTCATAGCTGGATCCTCTCTGAGTGTGGTTATTTCACCCACATGCTCCTGAGGAACTGAGTTGTGCTGAGGAGTGGTTAAAGGGAAGAAAAATCCTGTGTGCACATAATCATCATTACTTAGTTAGGAGCTCCTCATTTCTTTATCACTCCTATAGTCTGAATTTCTATGAGGAGAAAATAATGCTGTTAAGGGGACTGTGGAAGAGGGAGATTACTAATATTTTTATATTACGGATAAAGAAAACCCCAGTTCATCAAGTTAAATTGACATTTAAAAATCACAAAGATAGAGGTAGTTCCTCAAGTATAGTACCAAACTCAAGACAGATGCATAGAAGTTTAATGAAATAAAAATTGTGAACTATATTAAAACACCTTCAGTATTCATCTGAATTTCTTCCAACCTAAGACAGCCTCTATTTAAGCCTATTTATATTCTTTTTCAGTGAAAGGAAAACCGTTTCCTTTCACTGACCCTCTCATTGCCTCAGCTACAAAGTGGAGACTGTTACTCTTATTTTGGCCACTAGTTAATATCGTCTCTTAGCTTTCCTCATGATATCTGTTTCCTGTAAATCATATTGCTTTAAGAAAACACACAAGTTCTAGATTCAGACAAACCTGGAATTCTGGTTCTATTATGCCCTAGCTAAATGACTGTGGGTGAGTTACTCAACTAAGAAAGTCTCAGTTTCCTCAATTAATGAAATGTGGAAAATAACAGAACCTATCTCATTTAATAGGAACTATGTCAGATAAATAAGGGCTCCCCTAATGTTCATAGCAGCATCATTTACAATAGCCATGATATGGAAGCAATCCAAGTGTTCATCAAGAGATGAATGAATAAAGAAGATGTAGGGTGTATGTATATATATATATAATACATATATACAATGCAATATTACTCAGCCATAAGAAAGAATGGAATTCTTCCATTTGCAACAATGTGGATGGACGTAGAGGGTATGATGCTTAGGAAAATAAGTCAGACAGAGAAAGACAAAAACTCTGTTATCAATTATATGTAGAATCTAGAAAATAACACAAACGGATGTATAGAACAAAACAGAACAGACTCACAGATATAGAGAACAATCTAGTGGTTACCAGTGGGGAGAGGAAAGGGAAAGGTGCAAGATTAGGGTATGGTATTAAGAGATAAAACTACTACATATAAAATAAGTAAGCAACAAGGATATATTGTATAGCACTGGGAAATATAGCCATTATTTTGTAATAACTTTAAATAGAGTATAATTCATAAAAAGAGTGAATTACTATGTTGTACACCTGAAACTTTGTAAACTTTTAACATTGTAAATCAACTATAATTCAATAAAAAAGATAAACAAGTGCTCAAGAAAGGATTGCTATTATAAAAATCATAATTCTCATATATGTCTATTCACTTCTAAAATATGACAGTACTATATCTTGGGAATATGTAATGTTTGCGCATGTTGGTTCATACATGTTTTTCTTAATATGTTTTGATATATATCTATGACATTTTGACCACAGAGTCTATTACTGAAGAGATTATATCAAATTACATTCAGACATATAAAAAACCTCTGTTACTCATGTAAAGAAACCATATCAACATATAAGCTTTTACTTACAGAATCATAATAATATCTGAAATTTATTGAGCATATACTGCATCAGTGCCTACGTTAAATGCTTTACATTCATGATCTTACTTTATCATTACCATTAATGTTTTAGTCAGGCACTATTTTTATGCCCATTTTGCACATAAAGAAACTGAGGTTCAGAGTAATTAAATATCTTTCTCAAGATCATAGAGTCAGTAATTGGTAAATCTGTTCTTTCTTACTCCAAAGTTCAAAAAGGTAATCATTACAGTGAGCTATTTATAAACTCTATTATAAATATATATTCATATATATGAATGATAGAGAAACTAAACACTAGCTATTCTATTTAGCAAATGGCGGAGCTAGAATTTACTCTCAATTTGTTTGAGTAAATTGTCTTAGCCACTACTTTTGGTAAAAATCAGGAAAATACCCCCCAAATTATAATACTTGATAAATTCAGGAACTTCTTTCTTCATGACAGGTCAATGTTTTTTCCAGGAAATCCTGAGATTCTTCAATTAGCAACTAAAATGCGTTAAAAGGCACATCACATCATTTAACTTTGAACACCTGCCTTCAGTCACGGCTTTACAAATGTTGTCTAGTGTGCAAACTTCCAAACTGCCTGGGTCATTTGCCTCTACCCCAAGTATCTCCTGGGATAATAAAAATAGCTAACATTCATTGAGTACTTACTATGGGTTAGACATTTTTCTCAGTGTTTTATTCTTTCTCTCTTGGGTAGCTTAAGTATATGTGAAAGCACTGTTAACATTCTGCCTTTGGAAACCTACAAGACCATTCTACATTACACTCATTTCCAAACCAACAAAACCTGGAATTACAACACAAAGTTTCCTTTTGCCTATTCTGATGCATAGGCCTAAAAACTTCTCCAAGACTAAAGAACAGATTTATTCTTAGTTTAATTTATTTAGATATTATATTCTATAATTAATAATCTGGTTTTTTACTATCAGGCAGTTATCCACAGTAACCAAAGCACTTCTGGTTCTGAAATCATATTACTAACTGATAGGGAAGATAATGAAATAAACTTATGCTCTGAGGAGGTAAAACAAAGTGGTGCGATCATCCACATCATTGCTCTGGGATCTTCTGCTGCCAAAGAACTGGAGACACTGTCAGATATGACAGGTAAACCTTTGGAATAGAGTTTGAAAACACTTTTTCAGTTTCTCTCATTCCAGGGGCTCTTTCCCCTTAAACTACAAACTGCTCAAAATTTTCCTATTCTAAAAAATTAATCTTTGTCCTTTCCTTGTCCTTGTCCTTCAAATTAATATATTTCCTCTCCCCACCCCCACTTCTCTCCATTTCTACCTATATTAACTTTTTCTAATATTAGTCAACATTTTCTGTCTTCATTCATTTCTCACCACTTTCTACCAATACTACCAAAATGAAACTTCTTTCTCCATGGTTACTAATGACATTCAACTGCAGTTCCAAAATTCTGGCTCAGCATCTGTCCTGCTCAATCTTAAAGTAGAGATTCAGATAGCCCTATTTCACTGAGGAAGAAATGTAAACCTAGAGAATAGAAATGATTTGCCCAAGGCCAGAGTTAGAGACCTGATTACTGAGTCTTGCTCTCTGAAATCCATTCTTTTCCAGCTCCTGACACCTAAGTTATCTCCCTCTTCATTAACTCCTGTATCACTTATTTTCTGCACTTAATCAATTTTTACTTTATTCTAAACTGTCACTCTCTAATTGTTTTGGTATATCTTAGATATAATTAGAAAATAAGCAGCTAGTTTAAAAATTGTCTTTAATTTTCATAATGTTATTTGGTGATTAGACCAGCTTTACTAATGTGGAAAGTACTTAAATCTAATGATTGATATAAAAATAATATTTGGCTAGTTTTTTTCTTTGTTCTAACATATTTTGAGCAAGGTTTAGTTATTGTAGGATTACATCTAGGATACTGATATATTAAAAGTTCCTAAGGTCTGGGAAATTCATCTTCTGTAAGTTTAAAAAAGAAAAATTTTAATGTATTTTATAGTATATTGATAAGAGTATAATAGAAAACATGATTTTCCCATTTAAAATTAGTATTATATGGAATATTACTCAGCCATAAAAAAGAACAAAATAATGCCATTTGCAGCAACAAGGATGGACCTAGAAGTTGTCATACTGAGTGAAGCAAGTCAGACAGAGAAAGACAAATATCATATGATATCGCTTATAAGTGGAATCTAAAAAAAATGGTACAAATAAACTTATTTACAAAACAGAAAGAGTCACAGATGTAGAAAACAAACTTATGGTTACCAGGGGCAAAAGCAGTGGGAGGGATAAATTGGGAGACTGGGATTGACATATATACACTACTATATATAAAATAGATAACTAATAAGGACCTACTGCATAGCACAGGGGACTCTACTCAACAGGGAAGAGAATCTAAAAAAGATTGGATATATGTATATGTATAACTGATTCACTTTGCTGTATACCTGAAACTAACACAACATTGTGAATCAACTAGACTCCAATAAAAATTTAAAAAATAAAATTAGTATTATAAAGGTAAATAAAATTCCATTTTAGGAGGACATCATTTTTATGCCAATAAAGACATAAATGGCCTTACTAATGCTTTCAGTAGAATTTCATCTAGAAGTGGCAGCATCACTCAGCAGGCTATTCAGGTCAGTATCTTTAAAAAAATTCTTTGCCTTTTTACACTTGTAATAACTTTTTGTTATCCTAAATAGTAACTTCTTTCTCTAATAAATAACTATTCTGCCTGAAAACATTTCAGGTGTAACATCCTTATTGAATTTGCTTTTTGTGATACTTATAGTCACTTTTTCTTTTGATTTTTCTATTTTTTATCAGTATAAATGCTTTTTATTTGCAAAATTCTTCAAAATAATTCTTAGTTATTTTAATTGAAATCTTAAAAGTATATTTAGAATTACTCTGAACTGACTAAACTTTGAAATGTTACTAACTGTAATAACAAATCAGTTTCACATGTTTGTTGTTTTTATTTATGTAACAGTTGGAAAGCAAAGCCTTGACAATTACAGGAAGGAAATGGATAAATGGTACAGTGCCTATGGACAGTACAATTGGAAATGCCACTTTCTTTGTTGTCACATGGACAATACAAAAGCCAGAAATTCTTCTCCAAGGTCCACAAGGAAAGAAATATAAAACCTCAGATTTCAAAGAAGATAAGCTAAATATTCGATCTGCTTGTCTTCGAATACCAGGTATTGCAGAAGTAAGAATATTTTTAAAATTTTCTCCATGCTTTATCAACCAATTTTGAGGAAAAAATGAAGATAACATCATATACAGGAGTAGGAAGATATTACAAAACCTCTCAAATAGCTATTTTTAAAATTTTCAGACAGGTACTTGGACTTACAGCCTTCTAAATAATCATGCCAGCCCTCAAATGCAAACGGTGACAGTGACTACTCGAGCAAGAAGTCCTACTACACTCCCAGTAATTGAAACAGGTCACAAGTCAAACTACAGCCCATTACCCTAACCCACTGATTGTTTATGCACAAGTCAGTCAAGGGTTTTTGCCTGTACTGGGAATCAATGTAACAGCCATTATAGAAACCGAAGATGGACATCAAGTAACATTAGAGCTATGGGACAACGGTGCAGGTAATAAGAATCTGCGTCAACTTCCACTGAACTTAAAATCCTACTATAATCACATGACGTAGAAGTCAATATTTCCTATATATGCTAATGAAACATATTTTAAGTGATTTTAATGTTTTTAAAACTTTTTAACTTTTCAATTAGTTATCTTGTCTAGGCATAAACATGAGCACATTTATCTTCTTTAAATTTTATGAACAATTTTGCCTTTCCCATGTAACAAGAGTACAGTTTTTCTCTATTTTCATTACTGTCGGTGTTTTGCATATGCTTTCTGCAGTTTAGTTATATTTTCCTTATTTTGTTAGGAGTCTCTTATGAAATAATAATAGCTAATATTAATTGAATGCTTACCATGAATTAGACTTTTCCAAAGTCAAAGTTTGGCAAGTGGCCAAGCCAGGCTTTGAACCCAAGTAGTTTGATTCTAGGGCTCATGTGCTTAAAAAATTGTGCTATACTATTGCCCAAAATAGCTTCCATCACTAGTGCTCATGAAGTTGATATTGTCATTTTTACTTTGTTGTTATGTCTAATATTACATTTCAATATCAAGGTACTGATACTGTCAAGAATGATGGCATCTACTCAAGATATTTTACAGATTATCATGGAAGCGGTAGATACAGTTTAAAAGGACATGCCCAGGAAAGAAACAACATGGCTAGGCTAAGTTTAAGACAACAACAGAACAAAGCTCTGTACATACCAGGCTATGTTGAAAATGGTAAGTGGCATTAAAATAGAAATGTGTCATTTATTTAGGTAAATTATATGTGGCAAGCATTTAAATTATAATGTACTATGGAAAACCTAGTTATATAATCACCTTTATGTTTCAAAACCATACTTATGTTAACAGACCTAGCATAGGACTATGCTTCCAATATGTTTTGTTTACATCTCCTTCGGTTCATTTACATTGAAAAAAAATTACTCAGCACCTCCTAGGTGGCAAGCATTTTGCTAGATGCTGGAGCTACAGAGATAAATAAGTTGCCATCCTTGTCCTTGAAGAATTTACAGTCAAGAAGTAAAGATGGATAGGTTAAAAGATAGTACTAACATTGCACGTCTCCTCATCAATTTTATTTATTTTTTAAAAAATATTTATTTGGCTGCATTGGGTCGTAGTTGCAGGATCTTCATTTGCAGCATGTGGGATCTTTTGTTGTGGCACGTGGGCTCTTCATTGCGGCACAGGCTCTTCGTTTTGGGGCACGAGCTCCTCTCTAGTTAGACCCTGTGGGCTCAGTAGCAGCAGTGAGCGGGCTCTCTAGTTGTGGCACACGGGCTCTTGAGTGCATAGACTTAGTCACCCCACAGCATGTGGAATATTAGTTCCCAAACCAGGGATCGCACCCATGTCCCCTACTTTGGAGGCGGATTCTTACCCACTGGACCACCAGGGAAGTCCCTCCTCATCAATCTTTAAATGACACCAATAAAACAAGCTTTTTTTTCACTAAAAGCTGTTACTTTTTCAATGGCTGCTATCAATCAATATTAACCCTCTACAGCTGCAAATGAGATTATGAAATAAAGAATAGGTATCACAATATGAAAAGTTACAAAATTGCTGTTTTGGTAGGTAAAATTATACGGAACTGGCCCAGACTTGGAGTCAAAGGTGACGTGGCAAAAGTTGAAATGGACTTTAGCAGACTAACCTCTAGAGTGTCGTTTACTGTATCAGGAGCTCCTCCTCCTGGTAATCACCCTCACATGTTCCCACCCGCTAAAATTACAGACCTTGAGGCTAAGTTTAAAGAAGATCATATTCAACTTTCATGGACAGCCCCTAGCAATGTCCCAGATAAAGAAAACGGTAAGTTTCATATTACATTTATAAATATCATATACTAAAAGAAATCCCACTGGTTTTCATTTGCTAAAAATTTTCTAATGTCTTATTTATATATAATATGTATAGATTGTCTACTATGGGCCACCTATTTTCATATGTGAAAACTTAAGCTGCAAGAGATAATGAACTAGACCAAAGTACTTCACATTAAATAAATTATAAGTCTAACTCACTCTCGTCAGATTCTGTTGTGCCAAACTGCCTCTCACAGTATGAACCATCTTAGAAATTACTTGGAGAAGACTGACTTAAGAGCTTTCTGTTGCATCCCTTTCCCCCTAACAGGGAAAACGTTTTCTAAGTATTTCTGTACTTGCACAATTTCATTCATTGATTGACCTTTTGTTGAATTTTCAAATACTATTAGGTTCTTTTTTTTTTTTTTTAAGATTTGTGCACTCAGAGGGAAAACAGCAGAAGCAAGAAAAACCACAATACTGCCACCTGTGGAACAAAAACCACATTCACAGAAAGTCAGACAAGATGAAAAGGCAGAGGGCTATGTACCAGATGAAGGAACAAGATGAAACCCCAGAAAAACAACCAAATGAAGTGGACATAGGCAACCTTCCAGAAAAAGAATTCAGAATAATGATAGTGAAGATGATCCAGGACCTCGGAAAAAGAATGGAGGCAAAGATCGAGAAGATGCAAGAAATGTTTAACAAAGACCTAGAAGAATTAAACAAACAAACAGAGATGAACAATACAATAACTGAAATGAAAACTACACTAGAAAGAACCAATAGCAGAATAACTGAGGCAGAAGAACGGATAAGTGACCTGGAAGACAGAATGGTGGAATTCACTGCTACAGAACAGAATAAAGAAAAACGAATGAAAAGAAATGAAGACAGCCTAAGAGACCTCTAGGACAATATGAAACACAACAACATTCGCATTATAGGGGTCCCAGAAGGAGAAGAGACAGAGAAAGGACCCGGAAAATACTTGAAGAGATTATAGTCGAAAACTTCCCTAACATGGGAAAGGAAATAGCCACCCAAGTCCAGGAAGCGCAGAGAGTCCCAGGCAGGATAAACCCAAGGAGAAACACACTGAGACACATAGTACTCAGATTGGCAAAAATTAAAGACAAAGAAAAATTATTGAAAGCAGCAAGGGAAAAATGACAAATAACATACAAGGGAACTCCCATAAGGTCAACAGTTGATTTCTCAGCAGAAACTCTACAATCCAGAAGGGAGTGGCATGATATACTTAAAGTGATGAAAGGGAAAAACCTACAACCAAGACTACTCTACCCGGCAAGGATCTCATTCAGATTCGATGGAGAAATAAAAAGCTTTACAAACAAGCAAAAGCTAAGAGAATTCAGCACCACCAAACCAGCTCTAGAACAAATGCAAAAGGAACTTCTCTATGTGGGAAACACAAGAGAAGAAAAGGACCTACAAAAACAAACCCAAAACAATTAAGAAAATGGTAATAGGAACATACATATCGATAATTACCTTAAACGTGAATGGATTAAATGCTCCACTCAAAGGACACAGGCTTGCTGAATGGATACAAAAACAAGACCCATATATATGGTGTCTACAAGAGACCCCACTTTAGACCTAGGGACACATACAGACTGAAAGTGAGGGGATGGAAAAAGATATTCCATGTAAGGGAAATCAAAAGAAAGCTGGACTAGCAATACTCATATCAGATAAAATAGACTTTAAGATAAAGAATGTTACAAGAGACAAGGAAGGACACTACATAAGATCAAGGTATCAATACAAGAAGAAGATATAACAATTATAAATATATATGCACCCAACATAGAAGCACCTCAATACATAAGGCAACTGCTAACAGGTCTAAAAGAGAAAATCGACAGTAACACAAAAATAGTGGGGGACTTTAACACCTCACTTACACCAATGGACAGATCATCCAAAGTGAAAATAAATATAAAAGGTTTTGTATAAAAAATAAATTAAATTAAATTTAAAATTTTTTTAAAATTATATAACTTGCACTTAGTTGAGTGCACAAATCTTTTTTTTTATAGATAGCAGGCTCTTATTAGTCATCAATTTTATACACATCAGGGTATACATGTCAATCCCAATCACCCAATTCACCACACCACCACCACCACCACCCCGCTGCTTTCCCCACTTGGTGTCCATACGTTTGTGCTCTACATCTGTGTCTGTATTTCTGCCCTGCAAACTGGTTCATCTGTACCATTTTTCTAGATTCCACATATATGCGTGAATATACGGTATTTGTTTTTCTCTTTCTGACTTACTTCACTCTGTATGACAGTCTCTAGATCCATCCACATCTCTACAAATGACCCAATTGTGTTCCTTTTTATGGCTGAGTAACATTCCATTGTATATATGTACCACATCCTCTTTATCCATTCGTCTGTCGATGGGCATTTAGGTTGCTTCCATGACCAGGCTATTGTAAATAGTGCTGCAATGAACATTGGGATGCATGTGTCTTTTTGAATTATAGTTTTCTCTGGGTTTACGCCCAGTAGTGAGATTGCTGGGTCATATGGTAATTCTATTTTTAGTTTTTTAAGGAACCTCCATACTGTGCTCCATAGTGGCTGTATCAATTTACATTCCCACCAACAATGCAAGAGGGTTCCCTTTTCTCCACACCCTCTCCAGCATTTGTTGTTTGTAGATTTTCTGATGATGCCCATTCTAACTGGTGTGAGGTGATACCTCATTGTAGTTTTGATTTGCATTTCTCTAATAATTAGTGATGTTGAGCAGCTTTTCATGTGCTTGTTGGCCATCTGTATATCTTCTTTGGAGAAATGTCTATTTAGGTCTTCTGCCCATTTTTGGATTGGGTTGTTTGTTTTTTTAATATTGAGCTGCATGAGCTGTTTATATATTTTGGAGATTAATCCTTTGTCCGTGGATTCGTTTGCAAATATTTTCTCCCATTCTGAGGGCTGTCTTTTCATCTTGATTGTAGTTTGCTTTGCAAAAGCTTTTAAGTTTCATTAGGTCCCATTTGTTTATTTTTGTTTTTATTTCCATTACTCTAGGAGGTGGATCAAAAAAGATCTTGCTGTGATTTATGTCAAAGAGTGTTCTTCCTATGTTTTCCTCTAAGGCTATTAGGTTCTTAAGAAATAATCCTTACTCTCAACAGTTAGTTGAGTGCAGAAGATACTTCCTGCAAATAAACAGATAATTTTACAGAATATGATGAGATATGCCATTGGATGGCCACTTCTGCTTGAGGGTTAAGATCACAAGGTATATCTTAAAAGGCTTTTCAGGGAAGACTATCCCTGACCTAAGGCTTGAAGAATGAGAGAAGTTAGCCAAGTTAAATGAAGATTTCCCAGAGAGAGAGAGGATCTCATGCAGAGATTTGGCTGTGGGGTTTGAATTAGAGTTCAAGGCCAAAATATCTCATTCATTCCACGTTCCTTAGAATAAATTGCCATCATTCCAGTAAGCTTAAATCACTTTCAGCTTTGCTTTAAATTTAACTAAATTAAATTAGTATTTATTGAATGCGTACCATATTCCAGTATTGTGCTAGACTAGTAGATTCTTTTGTGTTTTTTTTTTTTTAATTCATTTTTGGCTACATTGGGTCTTCGTTGCTGCACGCGAATTTCTCTAGTTGCGGCGAGTGGGGGCTACTCGTCATTGTGGTGAGCGGGCTTCTCATTGCAGTGGCTTCTCTTGTTGTGGAGCACAGGCTCTAGGCACGCGGGCTTCAGTTGTTGCAGCACGTGGGCTCAGTAGTTGTGGCTCGGGGCTCTAGAGAGCAGGCTTAGTAGTTGTGGCTCACAGGCTTAGTTGCTCCATGGCATGTGGGATCTTCCTGGACCCGGGCTCGAACCCATGTCCCCTGCATTGGCAGGTGGATTCTTAACTACTGTACCACCAGGGATGCCCTAAACTAGTAGATTCTTATGGGGTAAAGCCAATCTTGCTATTTTCCCTTTAAGGTGGTAAAATGAAAGCAATATGCATATCAATAGACACATATCTCAGAGGTTGTCAGTGCTGAAAAGCCACTTTCAATGCTATTTCTCCTGGGTTATAATAAACCCCTTACTATATGCTCTGAAAAGAAATGATGCTTTTAATCTTTCATTTCCCATGTAGCTATATTTCTTTTTATCATTATTACATAACGAAAAAAAATCATTCTAAAGCCAAAGGAAACATAAAATACCCATGAAGTGCTCTTTGTACTTCAATATTGAGATTCTTATCATGACAGCTCTGAAATACATTATGACCCTTAAAAATACGGTGAAATTTAAAAGAAACTTCCACTGAAAAAGCCATAAATGAAATTATCTGACCAAATGTTTAATTCTGAATTGAATTCAGTTAAGACCAAGCCTTCAGTTCATGATTGGCTTCATAATAAATGTCCCTTATGCTGATTATAGGAACTAAAAGAAGGAAGAAAGTATTTCATACGTACATTGGGAGAGAAAAAAAAAACAAAAAAAACTTCACTGTGTTTAACCTCAAATGCCTCAAATAGGTGGGAGCTGATCGTCCTCTTTCCTTGTGACAAATAGGAAGATACTGTAGTTGCTATCAAATTTTACCCTTAGGCATTGCAAAAGGAGGTAGTAGAAGTATCTCAAAAAATAAATATCTATATATTTTTGAATAAAAACCTTAAATTTTCTGGGACCCAATTTCCATACCTGTCAAATATGCAAATCAGACTAGATGACCTAGAATTACTAAAACAAGTAGATGTAATTCTAATATTTTATGATCCTCTAATTTTGTCATTTTGGGCATCAACTGAATATCTCTATTGTTGTTCAACAAGTAATATTTTTATTAAGGTATAATTGACCTACAACACTATGTTAGTTCCAGGTGCATAACATAGTGATTTGATATATCTATACAATACAAAATGATCACCACTTTAAGTCTAGTTACCATCTGTCACCATACTAAATTACTATAGTATTACTGACTATATTCCCCATGCTGTACATTTCATCCCCATGACTAATCTATTTTTTTAAAGTTTGTACCTCTTAATCTCCCTCACCTATTTAACTCATTCCCCCCACTCCCCTCCCCTTTGGCAAATACTTATTTGTTCTCCATATCTATGAGTCTATTTCTGTTTTGTTATGTTTGTTCATTTGTTTTGTTTTTTAGATTCCACATATAAGTGAAATCATGTGGTATTTGTCCTTTTCTGTCTGACATAATTCACTTAGCATAATACCCTCTAGGTCCATCCATGTTGTCACAAAAGGCAAGACTTCATTATTTTTTATGGCAGAGTAATATTCCATTGTGTATATATACCACATCTTCTTTAACCATTCATCTATCAATGGACACTTAGGTTGTTCCATATCTTGGCTATTGAAAATAATGCTTCAATGAACACAGAAGTGCATATATCATTTTGAATTATAGTTTTTGTTTTCTTAAGAAAAATACCCAGAAGTAGAATTGCTGGATTGTATGGTAGTTCTATTTTTAATTCTTTTAGTAACCTCCATACCATTTTCCATAGTGGCTGCACCAACCAACATTCCCACCAACAGTGCAAGAGGATTCCCTTTTCTCCACATTCTCATCAACACTTGTTATTTGTTGTCTTTTTGATAAAATACATTCTGACAGATGCAAGGTAGTTTTGATTTGCATTTCCCTGATGATTGGTGATGTTGAGCATCTTTTCATGTGTCTGTTGGGGCCTAGAAGTAATTAAGGAGGTCAAATACATGCCCAACACAGTATCAGATACTCTAGTTCATACAAAAAGAGTACTCTAGTTCATACAAAAACATACTTTTGCTCTCAAAAATAATATGTTCAAATTGAAAAGATAAACTGAACCTCTATAAAACTGGAAAACTCCTTTCCATGCAATAAGAGTTCATGGAAGAGAGTCATAAGGGGATGAAATACATGACCAGGACTTCATGAAGAAACTGGACCTCCTGTTGGACCTTGAAGAATGAGTACAATTTGCATAGATAGGGAGAGGGAGGCACATTCCAGGGAGTCATGACAGGGAAAAAAGGAACTAAATAATATGATCAAAGTCAAGAAAGCAAAATTTCACAAGGAAATATTTGAATTAAAGTAAGTGATGGATGGATAGATAGATAGATCGACGTAAATGGAATGCAGAGAGGATGTAAAGAGTAGGGGAATAGATCAGATCAATAAGGCCTATTTATTGAAAGACTAGAATTTTAAGGCACAGGGCCTGAATTTAAAAAAAAAAAAACACTAAATTGAAGTTATTCACCACATGCTTAAAACATCTTCAACACTTCATGAAAAAAATAAAGTCTTCACTTCAAAAAAGACATCTGATGTTTTATTGTTCATGGCATTTCATAATGTGAGAATATATTTCTATATCGATGGCCCTTGTAGATTTCTAAAACCATTTTGAAATGAAACATTTGTCAGCATCTTTCTTTCCTTTCTTGATAAAGTAACAGTAAAAACAGCTAATATTTCAAACATTTATTAACTCCCATTGTGCTAAATACTTTTCATGCATTATCACATATAATGCTCATCACTAGCATTCCGTAGATATTTGTTGAATGAACTGAATGACCGATTCTCTATTTTACAGATAAGAAAACTAAAGGTAAGAAGGGGTAAATAAATTTTTCTTTGTTACAGCCAGAAAATAGTAGAACTAAGGTGCTAATCAAAGTCTGCCTAGCTCCTAAACATGTTTATTTGGTACACATTCCAGCCTCTCTGCCTCCCTTTGCTCTTTATCCTTATCCCTGGCTCCCACTCTACTTATCTGCTCTCTTCCTCACCCATCCCATTACTCTCTCTCAGCTTAATGAGAAATAATACAGGCATAGAGTACTGAATATCTTTACTATACTCAAACATTACTGTGTTCCTTGTTCTAAATTAAAAGTGGACTCAGTTCTTCATATTTCTATTTCTAAAAAGAAATCTAGATTCCATTTTTAGTACTATACAATTTTGAATTAATTCTTTGTGATTAGATAACTAGATAAAAAACTGTTCCCATATTTTTTCTTAAAATAAAGAATATGGAATAACCAGACAAAAAACCCAGTGTGCATTTCTGATAGGCCCCTAAATGCAAGGCAATGTGGTAGCAATAAGGCATCCTAGTGATTCTAACATACATGAAATATCTGTTTGTTTTCCAGCCAATAGGTACATTATAAGAATAAGTAAGAGTTTCCTGTATCTCCGAGAAGATTTTGACAATGCTGCTTTAGTGAATACTTCAAGTCTAATACCTAAGGAGGCCAGCTCAATAGAAAATTTTGAATTTAAGTCAGAACCTTTTAAAATAGAAAATGTTACCTATATTGCAGTCCAAGTCATCAATGAAGCCAATAACACCTCAGAGGTTTCTAATGTTGCACAAATAGCCAAGCTTATTCTTCTGTCAGAAGACAGTGTCCCTGCTCTGGGTACCAAAATTTCTGCAATCAGTTTGGCAATTTTTGTATTAGTTTGTACATTATTTTGTATTATGATTTTATCTGTATTTTAAACTAGGAATTGTATCAGAACTGAAATTCAATGTTATACATATTTGGTAAACATTCATTTAGAATTTAATTTGCTATACTCATTGTCTTTTATAAAGCTGTTTGAAATATACAAGTGAATGTACAAAAGTAGTAAATTTCCTAAGTACTTGAGTTTAATAGTTCTACTTAGTCTCAATGTAAGCAAAATGAATATACCATTTCCTATCTTTTAAAAATTCCATTTATTAACTCAATATAAAATAAAATACAGATTTTACTTGCTGGCTTTTTTTTTTTTTTTTTTGGCTGCACCTTGCGGCTTGTGGGATCTTATTTCCCCAAGCAGGGACTGAACCCCGGCCACGCCAGAGAGCTGAATCCTAACCACTAAGCCACTAGGGAACTCCCTACCTGCCGGCTTTTTAAGAAACATTTTCAAAGTGTGCTAAAAATTCATTTGGTATTGTATATTAACAAAATCAAAATTCATCCAAGCCATTTGAAAAATATTTATGAATCCACAACAGAAAAAAATTTTATGGTAGAATTATTTAGGTTTCATTTTTATTATGAATGAATAATTCATGTTAATATAAACTATAGTCAAAAAGAGTATAATTTTTCAATGAAATATGGTCCAAAGCAGTAAGGAGGTCAAATTTGTTTTTTATCATTGATTAAAAGTGGTCTATCACGGGCTTCCCTGGTGGCGCAGTGGTTAAGAGTCCGCCTACCAATGCAGGGGACACGGGTTCGTGCCCCAGTCCGGGAAGATCCCACATGCCGCGGAGCAGCTGGGCCCGTGAGCCACGGCCGCTGAGCCTGCGCGTCCGGAGCCTGTGCTCCGCAACGGGAGAGGCCACAACAGTGAGAGGCCCGTGTACCGCAAAAGAAAAAAAAAAAAAAAAAGTGGTCTATCACACGGGGAGGGGGAAGGGTAAGCTGGGACGAAGTGAGAGGGTAACACTGACATGACAAGTGTAAAATAGATAGCTAATGGGAGGCAGCTGCATAGCACAGGGAGATCAGCTCGTTGCTTTGCGACCTAGAGGGGTGGGATAAAGAGGGTGGGAGGGAGACGCAAGAGGGAGGGGATATGGGGATATATGTATGCATATAGGTGATTCACTTTGTTATACAGCAGAAACTAACACAACATTGTAAAGCTATTATACTCCAATAAAGATGTTAAAAAAAAACAAAGTGGTCTATCAAAGCTTTGACCCTAGGCATAAAATGACCATTAGACAACAAGAATAATTTTTTTTGTATGAATTGTGGAACATCACTAAAGTCCCATTTATATTCTGAGACCATTATTATTAGGTCCTAAGAATATCACCAAGATGCTCCATCAAGGCAGGGATCTTTTTTTGACTGCTGTATCCTCAGCATCTAGCATAGTACTTGACACATACTAGATATTCAATAAATATTCATGAAAACAAACTAATGAAAATTTTCATACCATCAAAGAAATTCAAATTTGACCAATTACATCAAAAAATATCCACAAGATATCATGTGCACATGGTATTGTAAGGATTTGATATAATGAAAACTAACCACTTAATAATAGTGATCTGAAACAACACATAGCATTTCAGGAAATTAACTGTATCATGTCAATAGAACTTATAAACTACCTAATAAAATGTAAATTAAGCTATGAATATAGCAATAGTGTGATTTTTTCTGAGGGAGAAAGAGACAGAGAGACAGAGTAACAGTTATATTAGAGGAAAATCCTTTGTTTACAGGCAGGAATATTTCAAAAACTCTTTGAATGTCTGAAAGGAGGAAGTTATATGATACATCTGGAAAAGTTGGAAAAAATTATAAGACATTAGCAAACCAAATCCAGAAGAATATATAAAAAATAATAACCAAGTTGAATTTATGACCAAGTTGAATTTATCCTAGGAATCCAAAGATGGTTTAATATTAGAAAATCAATGTAATTTACCACATTAATAGATTAAAAAGGGAAACTATATTGTCATTTCAATACACATATAAAATTATATTATAATTCAACCACCATTATTCATTAAAAATGAAACCTTTGAAAACTTTATTAACCTGATACTATGAACTTTAATGTCCAATCTTAATCTTTAAAAAAATTTTAAAAGAGGGCATTAAATCTTCAAGTAGGATGAGAAATTAGACACAAAAGAGGAAGAATTCTAAATTCTGAGGAAAACAAATCACTTAAGAGTCTATAAATCATAAAAATTTACTGTTGATTATGAAAGTCTCAAAGGGTCAAGGAATAATTTATTCTATCTACTTGGCCACTGTACTGAGAAATGATTTACAAAGCTTTAACAGTCACTGAGGAAAGTAAGATTCCTATGCAGTTAAAAGAAAAAATAGAAGATACAATAGTTGGGAAGAAAGATACAAAACTGTAATTACTTTCAGGTGACATATAAAATCCAACAGAATTAACAAATAATTAAAACTAGTAAGAGAGCTCTGTAAAGTTACCAGACACAAGATCAATTTATAAAAATCAATAGCACCAGTCTGACACATAAAGAGCTAGATGTCATCACTACCATCCTCCCAAGAAAAAAAGCTGAATAACTGAAAATCAACAATTCTTCTTAGATTCATCAAAGAATTAAGGCCACATCACTATCTGCTGCCCCATTAATATAGAGAATCACAGCTTACCAAGAACAGAAGCCCAGGAGCTAAACATTGCCACTGAAGCCAGTACCAACAGAACACAAACTACAAATGATGAACTGCAAGAGGCTCAGTGCAGCTAAACTTAAGAGTTAAAAACTCCAGGGGGCCTTAGAGGAACCTCCACACTTTCCTGAGCTTTTGCTCCAGGAGCCCCACCAGGTTCTCAGAAGTGAGAACTGGTGAAAAATTCTTTCAGATTTTTAGCAGGGGGAGAAGGAAAAGTAATCATTTTGAAATATGCCCAGAGCATTCTGTTCTCCTTAACAAAAGGCTGTCCTCAAGGGAAACAATATTATCTAACCATACAGCTTGGGTTTTACAAGAGCCCAGTCAACTTTGAGGAAGAGAAATACTCAACTCCAATCTCCCCTAGACTTCCATGTGGGGAGAGGAAAATACCCAAATCCAACCCTCACTAGCCTTCCACATGGAGGAAGAGAAATACCCAACTCCAGAGCCATTTAGTTTTTCCTGTCTTATCAAAGGAAAAAAAATCTATAAAATGTGTGAAGGTCACAGCTCGGGGGACAAGCACACTAAAAAAATGAGACCTAATTATAGGACTATAAGATGCTTCCCCTTCCTTCACACCTCATCATCACATGAATGAGGCTGCAGTATAATAACAGGGGATAACAGATAGAAGAACTGGAAGCCTCAGAACCAATTTAAGAAGGAGTCTCTAGGGAAGCCCAAAACATCCAAGGAGACAAAAATAGACACTAGAGGAAATTTTTGTCTCTAACACCTAAAGCTACAGCAGTAAGCATACCCTAACTAATAGCCAGATAGTGTAAAACCTCAGATGAAAGGCCTATTTACCTCAGTTCCTTTCACCCAATACACAATGTGTGGCTTTCAACCAAAAATTACAAGGCATGATAAAGGCAAAAAAATAGTCTGAAAAGACCAAAAGCATCAGTACCAGACTTAGATAGAGCAGAAGTTTTGGAATCATCAGATCAAGAATTTAAAATAACTGGAAAAGGGGAGAAGGATAAATTAGGAGATTGGGATTGACATATACAAACTACTATATATAAAATGGATAACTAATAAGGATCTACTGTGTAGCACAGGGAACTCTACTCAGTACTCTGTAATGACCTATATAGGAAAAGAATCGAAAAAATATATATATGTGTATATATATATATATATATATATATACATAACTGATGTACTTCACTGTATACCTGAAACTAACACAACATTGTAAATCAACTATAATCCAATAAAAATTTAAAAAAAGAATTAAAAATAACTATGATGAATATCCTAGGGCTCTAATATAAAAAATCGACAACATGTAAAAACAGGTAAGTAATATAAGCAGAGACATGTAAGCCTTAATAAAGAATCAAAATTAAATGCTAAAAATCAGAAACACTGTAAAAGAAATGAAGAATGCCTTTGATGGACTCATCAGTAGACTGGACATGGCCAATAAAAGAATTAGTAAGCTTGAAGATATGTCAATACCTGAAAAGCAAAGAGAAAAAAGAAGAGAAAAAATGGAATAGAATATCCAAGAACTATGTGACAACTACAAAAATTCAATGGGAGTAGCAGGAGAAGGAGAAAGAGAAAGGAAAAGAAATTATGAATAATGGCTTAGAATTTTCCAAAATTAATGACAAATATCAACCACATATTAAGGAAACTCAGAGAACAAGTATAATAAAATTCAAAAAAATCTATACCTAGGCATATCATATTCAAATTGCAGAAAATAAAGACAAAAAATCTTGAAAGAAGCTGGAAATAAAAAACGCCTTACCTACAAAGGAACAGGATAAGAATTCTCTTCAGAAACCCTGCAAGCAAGAAGAGGGTGGAGTGATACATTTAAAGTGCTGAAAGAGAAACCACCAACCTAGAATTCTCCATCCAGCCAAATTATTCTTCAAAAGCAAAGGAGATTATTTTTGTATATGGTATTAGAGAATGTTCTAATTTTATTCTTTTAGAAGTAGCTGTTCAAAAATAAACTCAAAATGGATTAAAGACCTAAATGTAAGACTGGATACTATAAAACTTCTAGAGGAAAACATATGCAGAACACTCTTAGACACAAACTGAAGCAGTGTTTTTTTGGATCCGTCTCCTAAAGCAAAGGAAACAAAAGCAAAAATAGTCAAATGGGACCTAATTAAATTCAAAAGCTTTTGTACAGCAAAGGAAACCATCAACAAACAAAAAAACAACCTACTGAATGGGAGAAGATATTTGCAAATGATATGACTGATAAGGGGTTAACATGCAACATATATAAACAGCCC